CTACCCCTGGATCCCTGGAAGTGTCCAAGGCCAGGTTGGACGGGACTTGGAGCAACCTGGGCTGGTGGAAGGTGTCCCTGCCCATGGCAGGGGGTGGGATGAGATGATCCTTAAGGTCCCTTCCAATCCAAACCATTCTGTGACCATGTGTGGAGAGGCTCATTGGGGATTAAGGGCTCCAGGGAGGGCTCAGGTAGTGCTGCCTGCCAGGATCAGGTGTGTCCTTGTCTGTCAGGTGTGTCTTGGAGGCCTCATGGGTGAGGTAAAAAAAGCCTGAGGGTGCTGTTGCTGAAATCCAGGACTTGCCACAGGTGATGTGTGATCCCACCCTCCCTCCTGCCCTGGGGGCTCCTTTGGCTGCTGGAACACCTGAGTGAGGGCAGAGCATGTGCCAGACACTGGGCAAAGCTTCTGGTGCTGCCCCAGCTCTGAGGTGGCCTCTCTTCCATGGGGCAGCAGCAGGTTTGCTGCTCAGCAGTAGATGGACACCAGGTGTGGTGGGGGGGTCTGTGCCTGTCCTGGGGCATTCACAGGATGCAGCTGTTCCTGAGGATGTCTTGGACTCCATGATCCTCATAGGGCCCTTCTAACAGGGCATATTCTGTGATTCTCATGGATGAGACCTCAGCCCACCAAAGGAGGGGTGAGCCAAGGAAGGGGCTCTGCAGTGCCCAACCCTGCCCCTTTTTGTCCCTCAGCACATGCAGTGGGCACTGGGAGTGCTGGGCTGGCTCTGGGCTGTACCTGCCTGGCAGGTGGATAGAACAGCAGTGCCTGCTTCCCGAGAGATCTCACAAGAGGATGAGACTTTGGGAAAACAACCAATTCTTGTTGCTCCAGGAGGTGGTTTTTGAGCAGGTGGGAGGGAGAGGGGCACTCTCAGACATGGGCAGGGTCCCCAGTAGTGCCAGCACAGGGAGGGCAGCCAGTGCTGCTTTATGGGTGTGTAGTACTATTTCTGATGGTTACCATGGCAGCAGTTGCATTCTGTGATATATGTTCTGCTTTGTGAAGTACAAACACGCAGAGGTGCCTGGAAGTGAATTCCCAAAGAAAAGCCTCTGGTGTTCCCTTGTTCCTGCATGTTTAGCCCAGCCCAGCTCTTCCACAGCCCCTCAGCCTGTCCCTGCTCTCAGTCACGGGGGAAATACCACAGGCTGAGGGGCTCTGGGGATGGTCAGTGTGCAGGGAAGATGTTTCTGGTTGGTTTTTTGCCTTTTTTACAGCAGTATTTGTCCCCCACTCTCTATCTGTACAGTAATGAATTTACCACTGCCTGTTCCTGCCTGCAGCACAGCCCTGGCCTGGGAAACACCAGGGAGGCCACATCCACTTCAACATCTGGCTAAGAAAATTTGTACTAAAGCAGTGCACCACCTCGGTGTGTCCTGGGAAAATAAACGTGTCTTCAGGGGGTTCATGGAATGAGGAGGATGTGAAACTGGTGCAGTGTAAAGTGCAGGGGGTGGTTTAGGGAGATAGAATGTAGGGCCAGCAAGAAGTCCTGGGCAAAAGGAGGTGGACAGGCTGGATTAACCCCTGTTTCTCCTGAATAAGGTGTAGAGGCAGCCCATGGCATCGGTGGGAGGTGGGTTCCAAAACAAGCAGGAGAAGGTGGTTCTTTGCTCAGCTGTGATTGGTATTAACACAGCACTGTCTGTGTTGGGATAATTGACACATCACTCAATTACTGTGATAATAGTGTGTGTTGTCATTAGTCATGTTCTCTCAAGTTTTGTTATCTGACTGCTGGGAATTCATTTGCAAGGTTTCCTTCAGTCCTGTGGATCCCTTCCCCAGCACCTCCATCTGCTTTGGGCAGATATATTCATTTGAATCACGAATTCTTAAGTAGCAGCCCTTGTTTTGCTGCACATATTCCTCTTTCTCATCCCTTCTATCACAAAAGGACAGTATATAAATGCACTCAATTATCATTGGACTGGAAATATTCCCTCAGCTGGCTGTTAGCAGGCAGTGATACCGACAAATAATGATCACTGGTGTCATGTCAACACAGGCAAAAGCAATTATTTTTGAGCCATCTAACACCAGAAAAGCAGATGTAGGAAGGAGCTACCGATTAGAGATGAGAACACTTAAGGTCAGATATGCAGACTATGATTAAAGTGATATTTAATGCACAGTGTTTCCTTTGGTATTTTGTTGAGCTCTTTCCCTGTGTTACTAAACCTTTGTGTTGTTTGTAGCACTTTGGTTACAGGTTCCAGTCCACTCCTACTGGATTACTGGACTTGTGTTTTTAGGGAGAGCTGGTTGGCTGGACCCTGGGGAGAACCTCATCTCCTGAAATCCTAAATGCATCAGCCCAGCAGGGGTGCAGCAAAGCTCAGATGTAATTGCATTTTCTTTACTGCTCCTCACGTGGTCCCTGTTTATGAGAAAACAACACTTCCCCAGAACATGGTCCCTCTGCTCAGGCATCTCCTCCTCATCTCACAGCCCAAAATCCACTTACCCATATACTGGGAGCACATCCCTGAGTCATCCCAGCGGTGGAGACTGAGTTGATGCAGTTCTAAATAACACATATTTTTCCCAGACGTTTGAGTCAGATTTGGGGCAACAGAACTGGAGGGAGAAAGGTGTCCATTGCTTCCCCAGACAAAATTCTGTTGACTCACACCCCTTGGTTCATCTCTGAGTGCTGCCCATCCCTGCAGCTTTGTCAAACACTGCCAGTAGTTGGTGACAGCAGCCACTGTTCTCTCCCAGCCTGTGCCTAAGGGACCTCAGCTTTTCCTTTCTCCAGAGTTCCTCCTGTTCTCCAGCCCCAGCTGGGATGTGTCCATCTGTAGCTCCCAAGGGGCACCTGAGCCCTCCAACAGAAAAGCCAGAAGAGGATTTCTGTGGTGCCAGGAGGAGCTCCCTGGGTGTTCCTCAGTGTAGAGAATCCCTGCACTGGGGCCCCCGAGGTGCTGCCAGCCCAGCTCTCAGCCTGAGATGGGCACATCCACAACCTGGGGAGAACGTGTGGGAACAGTAACAGCGGGCAGTGATGTTGGCACAGCTCCCCAGGGCAGTGCTGGAGTCCCCATCCCTGGCACTGTGCAAAAACCACGTGGATATTGCACTTGAGGACGTGGTTTAGTGGTGCACATCGTGGTGGTGCTGGGCTGGATGTTGAATTTGGGCATTTTAAAGGTCTTTTCTGACCTCAGCTATTCTGTCATTCTCTGTTTTTCACTGGGACTTTAAGCTCAGCTCCACTCTGTGCTTCTCTCAACTCACAAAACACTGTGAGGCAGTAAATTGGCAGTTTAGGTATGTGTCATATGAAAATATCCTTGCACTTGTTCTTTCAAAGCTTGCAGTCTGCTCTATCAACCCCTCCACGCTGTGCTTTACCCCCTCCCTCCCCCCTGAGCTCTGCTCTCTCCAAACAGCAAGTGCATATCCATTTAGTACCTCCTTTTGTGGGAGTTAAACCATTTTGGGGACAGAAGAGTAAGAACTGGACGCTGTTTTCAAGATGAAGGCCCACCATGAATTTATGGAGTGGTGAGATAATGTTTGCAGTTTTATTCTCTGTTCCTTTGCAGCCATTTGGTTGGGTTTGCATCGTTTGATTGGTTTTGCATTGAGCTGTTATTTGCAGGAAATAACTGTGAGGACTCAGAGATCTCTTCCCTGGGTGATAACAGTTAATTCTGAACCCATCAGGGCTGTTGTTTTTCTGAGTGTGTTACTTTGCATCTATCACCACTGGGTTTCTTCTGAAATGTCACTGCCACTCAGTTAGAATGATGGCACCTCTTGCAGTTCTTGACCACCAGGTTTTATTTTCAGGACTTGAAATGACTTTGTCTCATGACTAATTTTGTCAGCTCATTAATCATTTGCTCTTTCAGGTGGTTTTTGAATATGGTGAGAAGTTAAAGCTCCACCAGTAGCTCCCCACCCCTGTTACCTGGGTTTTGACTGGTTGGTGGCTTGTGAGACCTTCCCTCTTACCTGCACCAATAGTGGGAACTGGAAGAGAAATAGCTCATACTGATGAAAATCCAAGCTTGGAGACACATGTGTGACCTGCCTGCTGGAATTCACCTCCCCAGCACCTGCAGGAGGGTTCCCTGGGGACAACCCGCTGTGTTTGTGATGTAACTCAGCCCCCCACACCATCAACTCACTGCCCAAGGGTGGGGGGGGGAGAACTGGAGGGGAAAAGTGAGGAAACTGCCGGCTTGAGGTACAGCCAGTTCAAAATGAAAAGCAAAAGTCACACAAGCAAAACAAAGAATTCACTCCCCCCTTCCCATGGGCTCAGCCAGCCCAGGACAGCCCTGGGCTCCCTCCCACCTGCTGGGACTGGGGAAGGCAAACCCCATCAGTCTGAACATCCCCCTCCTCCTGCCCCCAGCTCTGTGTGCTGAGTGTGACTCACATGGTCTGGGCCATCCCTGGGGCAGTTGGGCTCACCTGCCCCTCCTGTGCCTCCCAACTCCCTGTGCCCCCCAGCATGGTCCTGGCAGGGGGATCTTTATCCATTTCACCATCTCCCCACGATGCTGCTTAATTTTCTGAGAGATGCATCTAATTAGTTGCATGAAAAAATAAACCCTTTATGTCAAAGGTCTTTGTGGAACCACCTGCTTGACTTCTTTACTGTTGAGGGTCCTCAGTGTTATTCTGTTAAAAATGAACCAATGCTTTCATTTGAGCTCGGTGGAGCTGGGGAATGAACAGCTCTGCTTTGTGGGCTGGTGTTGCTGTAATGAGGAGAGCCTGAGCACTGAGAGAGCCCAACCAGCCCAGCTGTGACTTGCTGCACTGCTGGTGGTTTATACTGATTATTTTGAATTTAAAAGTGTACTTGATGTAAGTGGATATTTGGAAACTGCTCACAGGCACTCCTGGGATGAGTACCCAATTCCAGAGCAGCCTTGGTTTTTCATGGGTGGGATGGATTTAGTGCAGTTCAGGAAATCAAGGGTGTAAATGGGGGAATGATAAAGCCTTGTACCCTTTGTCCCTGCCAGAACATCCACCTGGTGGCCAAGTGGCTGAGTTCCCTGGAGAAGAAGCTGGAGCAGCACAGCAAGGGCAGCCACCGGGACTTCCGTGTCTTCATCAGTGCAGAGCCAGCACCTTCCCCTGAGAGCCACATCATTCCCCAGGGCATCCTGGAGAACTCCATCAAGATCACCAACGAGGCCCCCACTGGGATGCAGGCAAACCTGCACGGAGCCCTCGACAACTTCAGCCAGGTAGGAGCTCAGGGGGATGAGTGACAGTCGGCCTGGAGCTGCTGGAGCTGCTGGAGCTGCTGGAGCTGCTCTAGTCCCCATGGAGCGTGATGGGGGAGGGCATTGCCTTCCCAGGCAGTAGCTGAGTCCCTTTGCATCCCATCACATATCCCAGATTCACAGAATGTGCTGAGTTGGAGGGACCCCCAAGGATCATCGAGCCCAACTCCTGGCCCTGCACAGGCCCATCCCCAAGAGTCACCCCCTGTGCCCCAGAGGATCATCCAAAGCCTCCTGCAGCTCTGGCAGCCTTGGGGCTGTGCCCACTGCCCTGGGGAGCCTGTTCAGTGCCCAACCAGCCTGTGGGGGAAGAACCTTTTGCTGAGATCCACCCTGAGCCTGCCCTGACACAGCTCCAGCCATTCCCTGGGGGCTGTCCCTGCTCCCCCCAGAGCAGAGCTCAGTCCTGCCCCTCCTCTGCCCCTGCCCAGGCAGTTGGAACTGCAGGGAGGTCTCCCCTCAGTCTCCTCTTCTCCAGCTGAACACACCAAGTGCCCTCAGTGTCCTCACACGCCTTCAAATCCAGGCCCTTCCCCATCCTCCTTCCCTCCTTTGGACACTCTCCAATGGCTCAATCTCTCCCTTCCATTGTGTCCCCCCAAAGTGCCCCAATGTTGAGGTGAGGCCTCCCCAGGGCAGAGCAGAGCAGGACAATCCTAGGCCTGCTGGTGGAACTGCAGCTGAGTCTCCTGTGCAGGGAACACAACACTGAAGTGATGGAAAATATTCTTGGTGCCCCAGAGGGTTAGATCAGTGTCAGAGCTGTTGGTATGTGGTGATTAAATGAGCTCTGCCCCGTGGCCTCTCTCGACAGCTCTGGCACCACGGGCAGGAGGCTCTGGGAGCAGCAGGAACAGATCCAACAGAGCTCCCCAGGGAACAGCCCATGGCCAGGGCAGGCTGCAGCCAGCGTGTGTCACTGCTGGAGGCATCCACGGTCCTGCTGACCTCGTGTAGCACACGACACAAAGGCTGAGAGCTGAGCATTCACGCTGCTGATGATTCCTGTCCAGGAGACACAGACACAGTCTCCTGCTGCCCTGAACACTCCTTGCCCTCACTCACGCATTGCCCTTGCCTTGGCACACGCAGCTCTCACAGCAGGACCCCATCTGCTGAACCCCGAGCAACCAGTAGGGTCTGAAGGTGCTCTCAACCCTTGAACTGCCTTTTTGCAACAGTAGTGCTGAAGTTCTTACAGCCTCTCCATTCTGCTGATGGCTGTGCCAGGAACTCACTGGGCAGGTCTAGCTGGATGGTTTTCTCTTGAGAGAAATCTTCTCTCTGCTCCTCTGTAACCCCACCTGCAATGCTGAGTCCAGCACAGCTGGAATGAGTCCAGAGAAGGCACTAAATTGATCACAGGGCTGGAGCACCTCTGCTAAGGAGACAGGTTGAAGGAGCTGGAGGTGTTCAGCCTGGAGCAGAGAAGGCTCCAGGGAGACCTGAGAGCCCCTTCCAGTGCCTAAAGGGACTCCAGGAGAGCTGGAGAGGGACTGGGGACAAGGGATGGAGGGACAGGACAAGAGAGAATGGTTTTAAATTGAAGGAAAATTTCTTCCCAAAATTTTTTGTTCCCAATCCCAGTATAGATTGGCTATTGGGAAGAAATCCTTCCCATTGAGGGTGGGCAGGCCCTGGCACAGGTTGCACAGAGAAGCTGTGGCTGCCCCATCCCTGGAAGTGTCCCAGGCCAGGTTGGATGGGGCTTGGAGCAACCTGGGCTGGTGGAAGGGGGTTGGAATAAGATGATCTGTAAGGTCCCTTCTGACTCAAGCCATTCTTTGATTCTAATGATTCTCTCCATGCAGCCTCTTGTCTCTTTAGGCAAGAGCACTCCAGTCTCTTGTGGACCCCAGGCCCTGGTCCATGGGCAGGGAAATGGGTACAGCTCCCAGCTGATTTTGCACTTAGACCTGGAGTGGAGGGAATCTCAAGAGCAGGAGCTACCAGTGCTGAGCAGGGGATGGGAAGGCACCATGCCAGGATTAATGTCCATAGTCAGGAGAGATTATTCCATTTTTATCTACTGAGATTCATCATCTTGAACTCCACAACATGTCCCAGAGAACAGAGAAGGGGAGAACCTTCACCCAAATAACATTTTCATCCTTCCTCTGCTCATTTTGATCAGATAGTAATTAGCATTTTCTTAATTGCTGGAGTATTATAAAACATCTCTTATCAGAAATCCTGAAGCAAGTGGGTGGGGTCCCTTCCACACCTCATTTCCCTGCTTTATACAAATGGATGTTCAAATTTAGCTTTCAGCTGCAAGCTGCAAGGGAGCCCCTTTATTCTATGTGGGGGATATTGTTCTGCTTTGTAGCTGAAGAAAAATACACAACTAAAGAGGGGCCAAAAGAGGCTGAACTGGATTCTCAGTGTTCACTCAGGCAGGTGCCCCTTCATGCCTGAGGGTGGTTCCTAAAATAAGAAAGTGCTCTGCACATATTTGAAGCAGTTCCTCAGCAGGTATATGGAGGTATAATATATATCAGGTAAAATGAAGGGAACTCAGAGTGCTTCCTAATTAAGAGGAAAACAGGGTTTGGGATGTTCTTGACCATCTTATGCAGTTGGTCAGTGTCTTGCACACTTTGGAGTGATGGGTTTCAGCACAGCCCCTGAGCTCTGCTGTGCTCCCAGATGATTAGAGGTCTATCACTGCATTTTTTTTAAGATAAAGATAATGCAGGGAAGTCACACAGATGCTCTTTATCACCTTTGTCACACAGCAGAGAGGACTTCAAGGGGCTGTCCCTGGGGAGGGTGGATGGAGGGGCTGGTGTAGCTACTCCCTCCTTACTCCCTCACTTGCTTGGCTGTGCAAGTCAGAGCCCCCATGCCCTGGATATGCTGTTCCCAGGGAGGGTTTGCAGGCAAACCTTTCCCAATGCATTCATCTGCCAGGTCTGGGCAGACATTGGGCCAGAGCTGTGCAAGCCTCCTCCTGGCTTCAGCCACACCAAGGGGGTCCAGCATCCCATGAGAGCTCAGCTGCAGCCTCCTGCCACACATCCCTTCTGCTCCAGCCCTTCATCCCCTCATTTTCTCTGCTCCCACTGCTGGGAACAGCCAGGGCTGCCCAGCTTCCCCTTGTGCCCACTCCCAGTGCCAGGCAGAGCTCTTTGGAGCCCCGTTCCCACGTTCATTTTCAGTGATTAAATGACTCAGGCTCCTGCCCCTCCACCTCCTGGGCAAGGTGCCACAGTGCCAGTCCCAGTGCTGGCACCCTTGCCTGGTGTGACACAGAACTCTTCAAGTGAGTCCAGAGGAGGCACCAAGATGCTCCAAGGGCTGGAGCAGCTCTGCTGTGAGGAAAGGCTGAGAGGATTGGGATTGCTCAGCCTGGAGAAGAGAAGGCTCCAGGGTGACTTAATTGTGGCCTTCCAGCCCCTGAAGGGTCTCTAAGAGAGCTGGAGGGGGACTTTTTGCAAGGGCATGCAGTGATAGAACAAGGGGGATGGCTCCAAACTGCCAAGGGGCAGGGTTATGTGGGATATTGGGAAGAAATTCTTCCCTGTGAGGGTGGGGAGGCCAGTGTCCAAGGCCAGGTTGGATGAGGCTTGGAGCAACCTGGTCTAGTGGAAGGTGTCTCTGCCCATGGCAGGGGGTTGGAATGAGATGAGCTTTAAAAGTCCTTTCCAACCCAAACCACTCCAGGATTCTGGGTTTCTCTCTCCATCTCTCTGGTGTGGGATGTTGAGCACATGCAGGTGATGGGACACTGAGTGGGTGCACGTGTCCTTCCCTTCCCCACAGTTAATATGTGTTCCTGTGCAAAGCCACTCTGAGCTGGAAGTAGTAAATATTAATTCCAAAAATATTCCTTAGAATTTGCCAATAAATTTGCAATGCAGATCGACTGACTTTAAAAATTAGCACATGTGTGTATTATGCAAATATGAACTGCAGGACAAATTGATTGGCCTCTTCTCCCAGGCAGGAAGCCATAGGACCAGGGGAAATGGCAACAAGCTGCACCAGGGGAGGTTCAAGTTGGATACTGGGACAGATTTCTTCACTGGAAGCGTGGTTAAACTTTGGAACAAGCTAGAGAGGGAGGTGGTGGAGTCACCCTCCCTGAGAGTGTTCAAGTAGTGGCACTTCATGATATGGTTTAGTGGGCATGGGGGTGTTGGTCAAAGGTTGGACTTGACCTTGGAGTCCTTTTCCAATCTTAATAATTCTGTGATTCTGTGATTCATCCCTGTCCAAAGCTGGGTGTATTTGGAGGCCCTGAGGCTGAGAGCAGTGGCTCTGCCTGTGTTGCAGGACACCCTGGAGATGTGCAGCCACGAGAAGGAGTTCAAGAGCATCCTGTTTGCCCTGTGCTATTTCCACGCCGTGGTGGCAGAGAGGCGCAAGTTCGGCCCCCAGGGCTGGAACTGCCCCTACCCCTTCAACAGCGGGGACCTGACCATCTCTGTGAGTGTGCTGCACAACTACCTGCAGGACAGCTCCAAGGTGGGTGCTTCAGGGGGGGCTTTTAACCAACAGGGATGTGGCTTGTGCTGAAGCTCCTGGGAAATCTCCTGAAATACCATTTCCTTGGGATCTTTGGGTTTGTTGTGCCTCCTGCTGGGGGGGGAGATGAGAGGCCTCAGTGCCACTCACACCTGTAGAAGCTCAGAAATCACAGCCAACAGTGCCTGTGGTGTTTATGCATTGAAAAGAACAGTGATCTTTGGTTTAACAGAGCTTGGAGTAAATTTGCATTTCAGTGGGGACCTGCAGTTAATCTCTGCCATGATCCAGTTCTCCTTGGGCAGAGTTTAACTACTCCCCGATGTTTGGTTACTGAGAGAACTGAAGCAGTGAGGTGGAAGCACGGAGTGTGCAAGTCAGTGCTGGAACCTGCAGCCCAGCACCGGCCTCTGGAGCTCTGGCTCTCTGACCTCCTTCATGTTTCCTGCAGTGAGAATCTCTCTGTCCTTCTGCCCTCCCTGCTCATCCTCAGGTCCCCTATGATGACCTGCGCTACCTCGTGGGTGAGATCATGTATGGAGGTCACATCACAGATGACTGGGACAGGAGGCTTTGCAAAACCTATTTGGAAGAATTTATTAAGCCAGAAATGCTGGAGGGAGAACTCCTCCTTGCTCCAGGATTCCCCCTCCCAGGGAACATGGACTACAATGGCTATCACCAGGTAAGCTCTTTGTTTTCTGGCATTATTTACACACCTAAATGTAATGTGTTCCATAACTGCTCTATAATCTGCCTTAGGAGGCAGGAACAGGGCTGCAGTGTTTCTGCACACCTTTGTTATTTCCCATTATGTTCTGTTTCTGTAGATGTTTCAGCATTTCCTCAGATGACCCAGTCTAATGGTAATTTGCTACTTCATCATGGGCTCATTCTGTTCATGCATGAATAGAGCAACTGTATTGGTGCTTGAGACTTGAGCAGGGCTCCTGGAAAATTACATCCACATACTGTTTGATAAAATGGCCCCTTCAAGCTCCTTTTATCATCAGTTTTGATGAGAATCACTGAAGGGTCTTGTTGATCTACCTACTGATCTCATCTGTTCTTTGTACACAAATGCAGTAGCAGAGAGAGCCGTATTAAGCTGGCTTTGTTCATAAAACTTAACTACTGGAAGCTAAATTCCCACAAGAGATCTCGGGATGCTGATGCTGAAATGCACAGCAAATAATTGATAGAGAAGGTCCAGCCTGAGATACAGAGCCAAGCCAAACTTTAGCATTTACTGAATTTTCCCAGCAGGAGTAGAAGCAGTTCTGTAAACAAACATACTCTCCTTCCTCCATCAGCTCACTGGTGTTTCAGCCCCAAGCAGAGCTGCTCAGCCTGGGCTGAGCTGGGGGGGGATGATGCCAGTGCCGTGAGCTCTGCAGGCAAAGTGCCCTGGGCTCTGCATCCAACCTGAACCTGAACGTCTCTGTATCTCAGATGAACCTGAACGTCTCTGTATCTCCCGTGAACCTGAACGTGTCTGTATTTAACCCGGACCCGACTATTTCTCTTCTCCGAACGTGGCTGGCTGTGTGTGTAACCCGACCCTGGCTGTGTGTCTAACCCGGCCCTGCCCTGTCAGCTGCCCTGCCTGTCTCTCCGCAGTACATCGATGAAGCCCTGCCCCCGGAGTCTCCCTACCTGTATGGGCTCCACCCCAACGCCGAGCTGGGCTTCCTGACGCGGAGCTCGGAGCAGCTCCTGCGAACGCTGCTGGAGCTGCAGCCCCGGGACAGCAGCGCTGGAGAAGGAGGAGTGGGGACCAGGGAGGAAACGGTGAGAGGGGCGCAGGATCCCACCCCTGTGCCATCCATCAGTCCTGCACAGCTCCAGCTGTCTCACAGCTGCTCCCGGGCTGTGTTCTGCCTGTGCTGGGTACAAACCCAGCCTAAAGCCTCATTTTGGGCAGGACATCACCACAGTGGAGCGTAACTGGAGTATTGGCAGTAATAGAACAGTGGCTTTTAATTACCCCTTGCACTGCAGTGCCTTCATTATCATCCTCTGAAGGTGTTGCAGATAAACCTTGTGTGGCCTCCAGTGATCTCTGAGCCACCCCTCGCTGTGCACCCCTGTGTGTGTGGCATAACGGGCTCCTGAGTGCACAGTCTGCCACCTAAACGTGCCACCAGAGCTCTGCTCAGCTCCTACTGCTGCCTCCATGTCCCACCCAGCTCCCAAGCTCCCAGGGGCCTTGTAATTCCTTATTTCCAGCTGAACCCCTTTGCTGTGCCTGTGTACCAGGCTGATCTTCCTCTGGAAACTCAGAGCTCATCAAAATGTGGCCCAAGCATTTCCTACCGGGATCTGAAATCAGCCAACACATGCTCAGGTTTTTATTTCTGCAGTCTTAAAGCCCCAGCTCTGTGTTCAAGCTTTGCAAATGGATGAGTGGCTAATGGGAAGCTTATATGAAGCCTGGGTTTTCACACATTTTTCCTTTGCCTTGGTGTGAGGCTGGGGAACTGACTACCTTCGACTGAGGGGCCCTTAGAAGTGCCCAACATGTTCAGTTTTTGGTTCATACTGGAATTTGAGGCGAGGGGAATAATCCAGAGGTAGCAAAGCCAAAGGAGATGCTCAGAGGTAGCAAATGTGGCTGCCTGTTCTCCCATTCCATTTGCTATTGAAATGCAATTAAACTCCAGAAACAAACTGATCAGTGAGTGCCCCAGCAGTGCTGTCACAGGGCCTGGCCACTCTGCAAACCCCTGGTGACACTGAAGAAGACCCTCACAGGAGCACAGGAGTCCTCATGGCTCTGTCTGGGAATAAAATCTGCCCAAGAGCACCCGGAGTGAGGCCTCACTGCCCTCTGTTGTATCTGGGGGTTGCTCCCACTGCTCATTTTCTTCCCAGGGTGATCACTGTCATTATCTGAGCTGTAACTGCACTGCCTGTGTCCACTTGGTCCTTGGATGAGAGGGAGTTAAGTGTTGTCTCAGCTCCTCCACTGGAGGATCTCCAGCCCCTGGTTCGGCTGAGGTGGTTTTTAGGGAGCTTCCAGGGAAACTGTGAGCCCATCATTTTCCTGAGGCTCTGACAAGTCCAGTTACTCCCACAGGTTTCTGAGGCCACATTACAGCAAACGAGCTGTAATTGTTGTGAAGGAATCAGAGCCAAAGGGATTTGCAGGGGAATTTCAAATGAGAGGATATTTCTGTACTGCACCCAAGCTGCAGCTGAAGAGCTTTTCCAGCAGAGCTTTGCCTCAGCTACCTGTGTGTTGGAACAACAGCCCACACACCAGCGCTGCTGACGTGAGTGGGGAGGCTTTGGGGGAGCAGCAACGGGAGGGAATTGGAGTACAGAGTCCAAAATAGGACTGGTGGTGGCCATGGCAATGAAATGCCCCTGGCTGCCTCTGCAGCTGGCCTTGGCCCCCACAAAGCAGGTTTCTGACGTCGGATTGCTGAGTTGTAACCGTGTGATGTGCTCCTGAGAAATCCCCAGGAAGCAGCAGTCTCGCTCAGGTTCCAGCACAGCAGTACAGCAAAGAAATGTGTGAGACTTCCACAGCAAGATCTCTAATGTTCCACAGAAACCTGGGAAATACAGCTGATCCCATGCAGATGAGGGGCTTCATGCCTCCCTGTCAGCCAGAAGGGGGGTTTGTCTATTCTATTTAATCCTTTAGACACTGGAAACATCCTGTTGCATTGGAGATTTCCCTGGTTTGTACTTAAAGTTCCAGAGGAGCTGTGATGGTGACCAGAAAACAATTTTGTTTCATTATGCTTTTCTTCCACGGCTCCATTAGTCCAGAATGCCAAATTCAGCTTTAAATTCAATTGTCTATAATCACCTCCCTATATCAATAAACCAGTGCAAAGCAGCTCATCAGCTCCACTGTCCTGAGGCTCAGCTGAGGCTACAGCCCCATTTGTCTCCTTGTGTTGAGTCCAACTTGAGGAGAAATAAGAAGAGAGGCTTGGAAGCCAAGCACAGAAGAGGATACTACATGTCATGGGGATGTTTTTAAACCGTATTTTTGAAAACTGCTCATCTGACATTAACTTTTGTAAGCAACTGAATTTTAATTTGATGGGGCAAGCTCTCACAGTCACAGAATCCCAGAATATGCTGAGCTGGAAGGGACCCACAGGGATCATCCAGTCCAACCCTCAGCCCTGCCCAGGCCCAGCCCCAAGAGTCACCCCCTGTGCCCCAGAGGATCATCCAAACCCTCCTGCAGCTCTGGCAGCCTTGGGGCTGTGCCCACTGCCCTGGGGAGCCTGTTCAGTGCCCAACCAGCCTCTGGGGGAAGAACCTTTTGCTGAGATCCACCCTGAGCCTGCCCTGACACAGCTCCAGCCATTCCCTGGGGGCTGTCCCTGGTTCCCCCAGAGCAGAGCTCAGTCCTGCCCCTCCTCTGCCCCTGCCCAGGCAGTTGGAACTGCAGGGAGGTCTCCCCTCAGTCTCCTCTTCTCCAGCTGAACACACCAAGTGCCCTCAGTGTCCTCACACGCCTTCAAATCCAGGCCCTTCCCCATCCTCCTTCCCTCCTTTGGACACTCTCCAATGGTTTCAGATCTTCCTTATACTGTGGTAGAAGCCCAAAACTGCCCCCAAAAAAGGTGCTGTGCCCAGTGCAGGTGACACGGGTGGCTCTGGGGACACTGCCTGGCAGGTGGAGTTGTCCTGCCACGTTCAGGCTGCCGAGCTAAGGAGTCTCTGGGGTCACTCATGCCCATTCCTCTCTCCCCCCTTTGGCACACAGGTGAACGACCTTCTGGAGGAGATGTTGGAGAAGCTGAGTGAGGAGTTTAACGTGGCAGAGCTGATGGCCAGGGTGGAGCAGAGGACTCCTTACGCCGTGGTGGCCCTGCAGGAGTGCGAGCGCATGAACGTCCTCACCGGGGAGATCAAACGCTCGCTGCGGGAACTGGAGCTGGGCCTGAAGGTGGGACTGCTGAACAATCCTGGGGAATGGTGCTCAGGGAACGAAAGGGGCCACAGGGAATAAAAGTGCTCATGTGCTGCTGGCTGCAAATCCATCTTGGCTCTGTGGCAAGGGCTCGCAGATGGATTTCAAATGGCACGGTGTCCTCAGGCATGGGGAGGGGTTACACACACAGCACTGCCTGTGCTTTGGGAGCACAGACCAAGCACTTCTGGCCACCCCATATTGTGGCACAGCAACAGCAGGTCACTCAGAAATTGGGACGTGGCCTATTTAAAGGTGAGCCAAAAATCCCACCTTTTCATAAAATGTTCAGGTATGGCGGAACTTGGAACAAAGTGTCTTAGAGGCACAAGCTGGGCTGAAATAAAATGTTCAGAACTGTAAGAGAAAAAGCCTAAAAATGCAAGTTTTGGAAGAGGTTCAGCTCCCCTTGGTGAGTATGTCACCTGCTGATGGAGGAGGGCCAGGACAGACCCACCCTAGGGAGACACCATTCCTGATGCTCCACTGCAGCTGCTTCTCCACCCAGAGAAATGAGACTCTGCTCCAGGAGGGTGATTCTGTTTCCCTTTGGGTGCTGCCTTTGGCCACACCAGCAGAGATGCAGCAGGGTGTGAGGGACTGTGATTGATGCTGCATCCACTGGTAGAAATCATCTCCTGCATCCCCTCCCAGGCAGTCAGTGGGACAAAATATAATGGCTCTGATTGTCCACTGGGGGATAAACCAGCAGGGATCAGACTGCACTGCCAGTGAGTGAGGACCTGCCTGGCTGTTCCTGGTGCCCTGCAGCAAGACTTCTGGGGGAAGAACCTTTTGCTGAGATCCACCCTGAGCCTGCCCTGACACAGCTCCAGCCATTCCCTGGGGGCTGTCCCTGGTCCCCACAGAGCAGGGATTCCATGGGATGAAGCAACAGTTAAGGACAGCAGTTGCTGGACATTCCCTGCTCCATCATCTCTGGAATGACAGGTTGTCATCCCATTTCACCAAAACTCTCAGCTCCCAAAACCAGTTTGCCCAGCGTGGGAACCATCTGCCTGAAGGATCCGCAATGGCTTTGACCCAACCCATTGGCAGGAAGAGACACCTGGGTAGGAAAGGAGGGCCTGTCCTGAGATGGAATGACATCCCAGCCCCCTCCTGAGGGCAGCTTGGAAGAAAGATTTCCAAGGGCCCTCCCTGCAGTGGCACAGGGAGGGGCAGGGTTCGCTCAGCAGTTTGGGCAGCAGCTCTGCAGGGATGGGACTGGGCTGTTCCCAAATCCCAGCTGTGTGAGCTGTACCCTGAATCCTGCACATGTGTCTGCACTGCATTTGCTGCAGCTTATTGTCTTCATTAAAGAGAGACATATCACAGCCACTTTGTGGTGCCCAGTGTGGACAGTCCAGTTTAAAATAGGCTGATATTTATGTAGTCAATTATTACAAACAGATTTCCTTTATTTTCTAGCATAAGCCAGTGGAATTGAAAATTCTGTTTTCTGAGACAGGTAAACTTGAGTGATTTAATGTTTCAATCCCAGAGCAGCAAACAAGATATAATTGCGACTTGGACGATGTGTGGCAATTAGATTTAATGTGGGGAAGAATATGCTGTTTAATATTGATGGGGGAATGAGGGAATGCACAGGCTTAAATAAACCACAGAGAGAATAAAAGCCAGGAATCAACAATACAAGGTGGAAACTTCTTCCCAAAACCCTGCCACAAATCAGGGCAGGGCAGGAGGTGGTACCTGCAGAAAAGGGACCTCTGATCACTAGAGCAGCCTCAGCACCTGAGGGGGGGTTCAGGCACCCAAGGCCAGGACTGGAGGAGAACTGTGAGGGAATGGTTTGAAGCTGTGCCAGGGAACGTTTAGGGTGGATCTCAGCAAAAGGTTCTTCCCCCAGAGGCTGGTTGGGCACTGAACAGGCTCCCCAGGGCAGTGGGCACAGCCCCAAGGCTGCCAGAGCTGCAGGAGGGTTTGGATGATCCTCTGGGGCACAGGGGGTGACTCTTGGGGATGGGCCTGGGCAGGGCTGAGGGTTGGACTGGATGATCCTTGTGGGTCCCTTCTAGCTCAGGATTCTTTGAATCTGTGAATCTCTTCTGTGGGATGAGCAGCACCATCAAGCTGGGTCAGCATTTCTTCATCTGCTGTTGGCCGAAGAGTCATATTTGAAGAGCCTGAGAGACCACCAATGGACAATTCATGGAATCCTGATGGTTGGAAAAGACCTTTAAGATCACCAAGTCCAACCATCAACCCAGCACCACCACCATGTTCCCTACTAAGCCATGTCCATACCCAGGTGTTTTTTGAACACTTCCAGGGATGGTAATTCCACCACAGCATGTTCCAATGCTTTACAACCCATTCCTAATATCCAGCCTAGCCCTCCTCTGGCACACCCTGAGCCCAGTTCTTCTGTGTCTGCAGGCATTTGTGAGTCCCTGATGAGCTGAGAGTGACACTGTGCATGACCCACAGCACTGCCCAGCATTCCCCCTGTCCCTTCCCATGCCATGAGGACCATGGAGCAGCCAGGGAATGCTGGTGGCTCTTCCTGCTGCCCTGACTTGAGAGCTGGCCTTCACACTCAGTTGAGGGGAGAAATCCTACTTTAATTGTTCCTTCCCAAAGCAGCTCCTGTGAGACCTGCTGGAGCTCATTAATCCCTGGGGCTGGGGGTCTGCACTGACAGCTCTCAGAGGAGGAGAGTTTACAAACCAGGAGCCTCAGAGCTCAGCAGAGAATAAATAAAGCCCAGAGGAAGCAAATCTTACTGGTTTTTAACTGACTGTCTGCCAAAAGAAGGCGATTTGGAAATGTCAGGCCTCATTTGAATTTTTTGAATAATTCATTGTGTCTTTGTAGCGGAAAGTGATTGTTTGGTCCAAAAATAGGAGACATCCCATTAAGAGGAAGAGAAATTGCAATAGACTGGTAGCCATCAAAAATAACTGGCACGTTGCACTTCAAAGCCCCTTGTTCTGGCTGACTTGGGTGGGACCAGAGGCTGGGCTGAAGCACGTGCATGTTAATGCTGCACCAGCCTCATCTTTGCAAGCAGATCTCCTGTTCTGCAGTTTGGGTGAAGGATAAGCCTCCAAAATGAGGATCATATATATTCTAGAATAACCGAGTTAGACCAAATTTCAATAGGCTAACGGGGTATTTCACTATATCAAGTGAAAATAACCTGAACTGAGAAAACAATTTGTGACAATAGTGTGCTCATCTGGAGGAAATGGCTGCAGGCTGATTAGGGTTTCCTTCAAGGGTGTCTTTAATGAAAATTACTCCCAGCATTTGGGAAAAATAAAATGAAAAAAAGTAACTTGAATCATTTCAGATGCACTTTAGTATTCAGCATCTGAAATGCAAATTTATGCATAATTGTGTTTGGACAACTGTATGAGATTGCTGCTGTAGATGCTTTGAACCCTCACAGGAGACTCTGACATTATGCTTGGGTGCACAGGTTTTAAAAATTGCTTTTCTCAAGCCTTGCTGAGAATTACATTTGCTAATTCATTTGTTTCCTGAAAGTAAAACTAGACATGATATATGATCGGGGGTTATGTCTTTAAATCAATTTGACTGCTTGCACACATTTTGCAATACTTTTCCCCGTGTTAAAACCCTTCCAGGAGTGCAAAAGCCTCCTGTCTCAGTGTCCTGCTATGGCCAGTGCAGGACTTTGCTCTTCAGACTATTTTTTCTTCCTCTGTGGACTTGTCATGGCTTTAAATTATCGATACTTCCTTTCCATGCCCAATTTCTCCTAAGATGGGAGATGATGACCCACAGGCTATGAACAAAGAAGGAATTGCAATGGTGCTTCAGGGTTTGTGGCCAATGTTCAGTAACAAGGTCATGACAATTTCCCTGGTGGGTCAGACCATGCTGACAGCCTGGAGAAGCTCCTGCCAGCCCCTCTGCTCTTCCATAGGCTGAGCTTTGATGTTGGATCAGGAAATTGTCTCCAAGTGTGTTATGGAGAAAGTGAAACACTGGTGCCCAAGAGGAAACCCCTGGGCTTGCACTGCCTGGTGGTTCTGTCGCTTCATGGCAAGTGCCACATGAGCCACCTGTCATTTGTGTTGGACCTTTGTGCTTGGGGTTACCCAGGACTTCACAGCCCTTTGACCACCTGACCCATCATTTTGAGATTCCCCACAGCTGTAAAATTATGGAACAGAAATTGTGAGGAGGCAGAGACTCACCTGGGATGGCACAGGTGGGGTGTGTTTTGAAAGGTGGTTGCAGTTGTTCCTCATGTTTTAGTACTGCTGCAAATATCCCTCCTTTCCATTTAACCTCCTTTGTTTCTTTCAGCTTCAAAGACCTTAAACCCTTTGTACTCCTGATTTTCTCTGTCCACCATAATCTGCTCTCCTTGGGGAAACCCAGCAGGTTCAGAGGGCGTGGCAGAGGTTTAATCCTGCCTTGTACCAGTCCCTCCTGGTGAGACAGGAACGTTTCCCAGGGAAATCCACAGATCCTGGAAGGGAGGAGGAATCTGATTAGAGATCTCAGGGCTGCAGCATCTTCCAGGCATGGGGCAATACAGAAGTCCTCTGAGCTCCCATTGGAATTGGTGGGTGTTGGGGGCTTCCCCTTGAAGTTCTGCCCTTGCTTATTGCCAGACAAAATGGATTTCATTGTGGATGGTTAGAATTTTTCACAGGAACAGAATAAGAGAAAAAAACCAAGAAAAGTATGAAGAAGAAGATGATGATGAAAATAAGGAGAAGAAGAAAAGAGGAAAAAGAAGAAAAAGATTAAGAAGGAGAAGAAGAAAAGAAGAAAAAGATGAAGGAGACAAAAAGAAGAAAAAGGAGGAGAAGAAAAAAATTAAGAAGGAGAAGAAAAGAAGAAGGAGGAGAAGAAGAAGAAGAAGAAAAGAAAAAGAAAAAGGGGGGAAAAAGAGAAAAAAATAGGGTTGTTAGTCAAGTTCTAAAAAGCAGAAGGGCTTGAGTGGACACTTCCAAGGCCTGAATTCAGCTGACACCTCTCCTTCCTCCCACACAGCAGTGTATGGGGCAGGTGTGTGTCCAAAGCCCTTGCTGAAGTTGTCACCCAGCAGCTCCCAGGACTGTGGCTGGTTCAGGGTATTCCTGTCCTGGCCACTTGTCTGCCAAGGTGGAGGCTCTGGGCTCGTTGCAGAAGGACTTACTGGCCCCAGAGCAAGCCTGGTTTGCCCTAAGGGGGCTGCAGAGAGGTGGGGGTCAAGTTCTGCTCCCAGGGAAAAAGGGACAGGACAAGAGGAAACAGCCTCAAGCTGCACCAGGGAAGGTTTAGATTGAATATTAGGGAAAATTTCTTCATGGAAATGGTTATAAAGTCCTGGCACAGCTCCCCAAGGCAGTGGTGGAGTCACCATCCATGGGAATGTTCAAAAAGCATGTGGATGTGGCATTTGAGGAGGTGGTTTAGTGGTGAACATGGTGGTGGTGGGTTGATGGTTGGACTTGGTGATCTAAAAGGTCTTTTCCAGCTTTAACCATTCCATGATTCTGGTGTTCTAAGCCTCAGTCACTCCATGCAGAGCTTCCATTTGCTGGTGTTGGATGCACCGTGTTCCATCACCGAGGCCACCCTCCTGCATCCCTTGCTCTGGGGGGTGTCCAGCTGTGACCTTGTCCCTCTGGAGCCTGTCAGTGGGACCTGCAGGTCAGAATGGTCAGCACAGGAACAAACTGCAAAGATTTGGAACTGCTGGGTCTGCCAAGAATTGCTAAACATGTGTTTGTGTGTGTGGGGTGAGTTGCTTTGAGCAGATTTCAACTTCTGCTAAAGCTTCACGGATTTTTGTGGCCCCGGTACAGGGCACCTCTGCTGACCTCATGGCTGGAGGCACTGACATCCTGGGAAAGAACAGTTGGAATTTTCTAATGTGAATAGACTGACCCAATTCCCTCACCCTTGTTCTCAGCAATGGCTCAACTGATTTCAGTTAATCTTTCCAAAAACACTCAGCCTGAGGCAAAGAGAAACTGTAAGTCACATAAATTCTGGTGAAATGATAAGGGGACAAAAGGAAGTTTTTATAATTGAAACCAGTGATCACCATTATCTGATCATTCCATACAGGGGAAGCTGAGCCTGTGTGTTTGCAGGTTTTTTATTTACAGCCTTGCTTGGTCTGAGTGGGGCAGAAGCACAGATTAGTTGTTCAGGATATTGTCTAGTCCAACCCCATCCCCAAAGCAGGGACAGGTTATCTGGGACCTGGTCCAGTTGGCTTTGGAATTTTCTTAATTTTAGTCTCTCAGACCCTGGAACCCTCTGCAGAGCACCACGAGCTCAAGAGGGATGCGTTGTTGATGTGCAGAACCCCTTTTTGGCCAGGCAATGATGTTCCAGCTCTTCTGCCTGGACAAAAGTGATCCAGGTTTCTCAAAGCTTTAAAACTAATTAATTGCTGCATAAAGGATAAGACAAACCTTTCTCTTTATCTCCCTTGGCTGAATCATATCTTAATTTGTTGTGTGTTTCCCTGCTGTGGAAGGAACTGTGATTACATTTGCAGACAACACGTGAAGTTAAAAAGAAAATCTTGCACTGCAGAGCAATAGATGAGGAGAGGAGGGAGGGGAAGTGGAGGAGAGGAGGGAGGGGAAGTGGAGGAGAGGAGGGGAGAGGACTTGACTTAACAAACATTTGGACAGTTTTGGAGTAAATCATCAGAGACTTCAGTGTTCTGCCCTGGCAGTGAATGAGAACAGCTTTGAACCTTTGAAAATTGGCTCTAACAAATCTTCAGTCCACAAGTCCAAACAGAAAAAAAAAAAAAGGGGGGACAACTGAGGGACACCCCTGTCACTGTCCCACAGCTTTTCCTCCCAGTAGTGTGTTTACAGCAGGGAAGGTGAGGATGCAGGGATGTGCAATAGGAAAACCCAAACTCCTGAAGCCCTTCACAGTCGGTGACCAGCAGTGAGTGTGTGGGGTGAGCTGCTGTTCCTCACGTCCCAGCCCAGCTTCTGCTTGAACAGCCCCTGCTGAACAGCTGTTAGTGCTGACTGTGCCCTTTCTCCCACAGGGAGAGCTGACCATGACCAGTGACATGGAGAGCCTGCAGAATGCCCTCTTCCTGGACATGGTGCCCGAGTCCTGGGGCAGGAGGTCTTACCCTTCCACAGCCAGCCTGGGCACGTGGTTCACCGACCTCCTCGCCCGCATCAGCGAGCTGGACACCTGGACTGGAGACTTCTCCTTGCCCTCCACCGTGTGGCTCGGTGGGTTCTTCAACCCCCAGTCCATCCTGACAGCCATCATGCAGACCACAGCCCGCAAGAACAAGTGGCCTTTGGACAGGATGGCCCTGCAGTGTGATGTGACCAAGAAGAGCAGAGAGGATTTTGCCAGCCCCCCTCGGGAAGGGGCCTATGTGCATGGGCTGTTCATGGAAGGAGCACGATGGGATGCACAGGTGAGCTCACCAAGGCTCTTGGGCTGGGAGGGAAGCTGTGGATGTCATGTCCTTATTCCCTGGCACTCAGGAAACTTCTCAGCCTAGACAGGCTCTCATCTGAGCTGCCTCTTCAGGAAGGACAGATGGGAGATCTGGGCCTCTCCTGGGTGGCCCAGGGAGAAGGTGGTCAGAGGAATCACCCTTTGGAGCTCAGTTCCATGGCTGGGAAGGGAGTCCAGGGTGCTCAGCTTGGACTGGCACATCCAGCCTGTCCAAGGTGAATCTCAGCCCAGGGGCACATCGACTGGACTGTGGGCAGTACTCGAGGTGCTGCCACAGACACATCAGAGGGTCCTGACAAAGGACCTGGCACTGTCCCCACAACTCCACATGGTGTGGTTCCACTGCTGCCTCCAAAAGGGACAGATTTTTGTGGGGTCACTACGCTGTTGCCTGTTTGGCAGCAGTGGGGAGAGAGGAGAGGACTCTGATTTCCTACGAGCTCACATCCTCAGGGCTGGATGGGTGTGGTGTGCCACCCCCAGAGCACTGTGCTTCCACTGTCAGGTGCTGCAGGATGTGACCAGAAATGAATCACATTCTTCATCCATTCCCTTACGTCAGGCCTGATGGGCCTAACCCATATGGTCCACGTGGACTCAGGCTGGTGACTCAGGAGGGGGGTGGGCTGGCCCTGGACAAGCAGAACACAGTGAGTGTCCCTTGCTCTTCCTTCCCCCTCTGGATGAGGGGACACCTTTCAGCTGGAACACAGCCTCAGGTAGCCAGGGTTGGGACCATGCAGAGCCAGAGCCCTCAGACTGACAGTTCCCACTGGGTCTGGCTCTGTGAGCTGCCTGGCCTGTGGGGCTGTGATTCCCAGTGTGTGCTGTGTATGGGAATTCAAGGACAGTGGTTCCTGCAGCTCTTCCTGTGCTCTGCTGCTGCCAGGGATCTGTGAGAGAGAGAACACTGACCAAAGTGGGTCACCCAGAACCTTCTGATCTGTGTCAAGTTTACCCTCCTACAAGAAGAGGCTTTTATGTCAGACACAGCTCTTTACCCAGACCCAGCTCTTCAGACTCCAAGTGTTAACCTTGAAGATGCCACTTTATCTGCTGTGGGACTTGGTGGGCAGCTGCTGAGGAGCCTGTGAGATCCTGAATCCCAGGCTGACCTCACAGTTCATGTCCAACACTCACTACTTATTTGTCAGCTCTCTCTCTGCAATGGTTCTCCATGAAGAACAGGAAATGAAGCAAAGCTTTGACCTCACTGAGTGCTGCCATCCAGTGCACTTGATCCCAAACCCTTGGGAAGGTCAAACTTGCAGGCCCTTTTTCACTCTGGAGATGGGTTGATGTGTACATTGGGTCTGGAAAACTGCAGGCAGTCAGGAACATGGGCACAGGCACTTTGCAATCAAGGGGTTGCAGTGTGGGTGTCATGTCAGATCCCCTCCGTGGTTTTGCTCTGCTCCCAGCAGAAGTCCCAGCAGCAGAACAGGGACCAGCCCAGTCCATTTCCCAGCCCTGGTCCCACAGTTCCCTGACCATTCCCTGCTCTAAGTCTGTGATGTGGCTGCCAAACACAACCCCTTGTAATCACTGCCCTCACCACAGGGAACACTGCATTTCAGCTGCCCTCAAACCCTGACATCTGAAAGATACAAATCAGCTGGACACAACACAACACAACACAACACAACAGAGAAAGTAAAAAAAAACTCCTGGTCATGCATATCAAATACTCCATTTAAAAGAATTCCAGTGACTGGGGTTACATTTTCCTTTACCACCCTTGCCACCATTACTAGAACTGATTTCTGCCCAGGTTTTGCCTGGGTTTTTCCCAGCTCCAGGCAGGGCTGGTAGGGAAGAGTGAGAAGTTTCGGTGGTGCAAAGCCAGAAATCTTTTGGGAAACACGTGGCTTCTCCCCTCTGCCTCCCCCTAATAACTCGTGCAGGTGATTGCGTTCAGCAATGAGCTTTGTCTGCAGGGACCATCCCAGTCCAGTAACTGTGTTTTTCTGATTACATTTTCCTTGTGATTGAAAGATACTGAGCAACTACCTTTATGGAACCATTCATAATCTCTGGATATCATGCTTCAATTTATTTCAGAAAGAAAAAGGATATTTTCATGGGTTACTGCTCTCACTGAAATATCATTTCCACTGAGTGGAACTATTAATTTCACCTGTAATCCGGTGAGCACCAGTATATTAATGGATGTAGGACTTTTAAAACAGGTGCACATCTCTTTTGGGTTGTATACTCCTTCCAAATTACTCCTCTGATAAAAATGGCAGGCTGTATTTAGAAGAATCCTCTGGGGAACACCTCCCCTCTTAAAAGAATATTTCACATTTAGGTTGTGCCTCCAAAAAAAGCAAAAAGTCCCTCTATGTTCTGCCACGCACATTTTTCTATTTATTTAAACATTTATGTTTGCCCTTGGGTGTCTTAAATTTATAAAACATTCATTACAAACCAGCAGGCAGCTATTAGATGAAATGAAACTAAGCAGATTATTTTGGGTGCAAATGATGTGTTGCTGCAGCCCTGTTCCAGTCAGTGGCACTCAGTGAGAGCTGCTTCGACTGAGGACACTCTGAGGCATTTCATCTCAAGCCAGGGGAGCCTTGCTGATGGATTCCTGGCTTTCCTGCTCCCAGCAATGCCGAGTTTGATGCCCAGTGTGTGCCCTGCATCTCCCCAAGGGGAGAGGTGGCTTTTACACCACGTGTGGTAAGTGAAACCTGGCCAGGTGCAGACAGCCCAGCCCCTCTGTCATGGAACCATGGAATGATGGAATGGGTTGGGTTGGAAGGGACCTTAAAGCCCATCTAATGGGCAGGGACACCTTCCACCAGCCCAGGTTGCTCCAAGCCCCATCCAACCTGGCCTTGGACACTTCCAGGGATGGGGCAGCCACAGCTTCTCTGGGCAACCTGTGCCAAGGCCTGCCCACCCTCACAGGGAAGGATTCCTTCTCATTCCCCTAGTCCAGTTGAAACCACAAACCCCATCACTCTCTGGACCCCCTGGGGTGATGTTTCTGCTGCTCCTCTGCTGGTCACCAACCCTCTGCCCTGCAAACAGTGACCCAAAGCCGTGCTGGGGGACCTTGGACCAACTGACCCCAGCTGGGCTGTGCTGGGTGGGCAGCTGAGCTGGTGACACCCCAATGGGCACAGAGAGTGAGGGGGTGATGGGTGTTGTCTCACTGGATCTGCAGCTGGGCCCATCATTCCCCATCCCTGCCTTGTGACAGCTGGTTTGTGTCTTCAGACCCACTGACGTGTCCCCTCTCAGTGGCCTGCTGGGAGGGCAGGACAAGCAGAAAGGGCTTTGTCAGGATCTGAGGCCTGAGCTCTCTGAGCTTTGCACCAGGAAAAGCTGTGCCAGTAGTCAGGAAAAAATTGCTTTCAGAGTAGAATTAATTTCTGATCATAAGAGCAATAAAAAATGCAAATGCAAATCAGCCCAGACGTAACAAAATGCTGTGTTACATGGAGTTACCTCAGAAAGATTTCAGCTCTTGTTAACCCAGAGACAGGTAGAATATCTCTTGGAAATTTGATTTGAAGCATTCCCAGCAGTTAAAAAAAACAAACCAAAAACCCGAGAACTGATCAAAATCCAGTCTCAAAACTGAAAGATGTAGATTTCAAAAGAGTGCATAAAAATGTTTAATAAATAGCTGCTTTGCAAGGTATTATAAGAATTATTTAATGTTTGTTCAGCAGGTTGAAAATATAAAATCCTAAATGAAAGCTGGATTTATCACAGCTCAGTATAACAGATGGCATTAGTACAATTAAACTGAGGTGTGTGGCAAGAGGGATTATTTTTCTTCACTCATTTGCAGAACTAAATAAACTCCTGGAGAGGCTGAACCTCATCCCAGGGCCCTGACGTAAGAGCACTGGAAATAATAATGATATGTGAGGCTCAGCTGCAGGGAGAGGCCGTTTCTTTAGCACTGAAAAGCTTTTTATTTCTGTTTCTCTATTTGTTTTCATTTGGTCTCTCCAACTTCCATTAAAAAATTTTGCAGCTCCCTGGAAAGGGATTGATGTGCAGGGCATTTTATTGTCAGAAGGGGAGACAGAAGATCCCAGAGAAAGCCAAATGAGAGAAACAAGCTGGTGATTTCTTGCCCTGGCAGAGCAGTGCCCTTGTCCTGTGCTGGGCAGCCTGGGCAGGGCATTGCTCGGAAGGGGATAACAGGGACTTGGTATTTAATGACAATATTCCCTCAGGAACAGGCCTGTTGAATCCTACTTGTTGGTGTGAGCACTTGTGAGAGGGGAAACCAGCCTGTGGTGCCTTTTGGGGCCACACAAACCACTGTGTGCATTTCACTTCCCTAGACAAGTGCTCGGATTTTGGTGGTGGGATGGGACCTCACTTGGTGACTTTCAGTGAGGGTCGCTCTCCATCCCCAGCCCAGTTCAGGTGCCCAGCATTGCTCCTGCCATGAGCAACACCTCCCATGAGGGGACTCTACTCTGGCAAAACCTTGAGAAAGAGCTGCATGAGAATAATCACAGAACCCCAGAATCCTTGGGGTTGGAAAAGCCCTCCCAGCCCATGGAGTCCACCCTCTCCCCAGTCCCCACCCTGTCCCCCAGCCCAGAGCACTGAGTGCCACGGCCAGGCCTGCCTTGGACACCTCCAGGTCTGGGCACTCCAAACCTCCCTGGGCAGCCTCTTCCAAGGCCTGGCCGCCCATTCCATTCCAGGAAGAAATTCCTTCTGATGTCCAACCTGCCCCTCCCCTGGCACAGCCTGAGGCTGAGTCCTCTTATCCTGTCCCTTGTTGCCTGGCAATAGGACAAGAGGAAATGGCCTCAAGCTGCACCACAGCAGAAACCAGAACAAGAGAAGTGAAAGCTTTGTTGATAATGTGGCTGGACAGAGCCAAGAACGTTGTTCCCCCACACAGTCCTGCTCAGGTGTGTGTGGGTTTGAGCACCTGATGGGAGGCAGGCTCTGTACCCTCACTGAGAGAGGTTCATGGTGAGACAGGGCAGGTGTTGGATCCAGACCCTCCTTCCCTCAGAATCATCCAGCCTCTTTGAGCTCAGGAGAGCTGTTTGCACTTCCCCAGTAAGACCAACCTAAATGAAAATCACAGAAGATGATGCTGTGGTGGAGCAGCTGATGGACACCTTGGAAACCTAAGCTTTGTCTCCTTTCATTTGCAGGCCGGGCTGATCACCGATGCCAGGCTCAAGGAGCTCACCCCAGCCATGCCTGTCGTGTTCATCAGGGCCATCCCTGCTGACAAACAGGATACCAGGGGCACGTACCCCTGTCCTCTGTACAAAACACGCCAGAGAGGCCCAACTTACGTGTGGACCTTTAACCTTAAAACCAAGGACAGCCCTGCCAAGTGGGTGCTGGCTGGGGTGGCCCTGCTGCTTCAGGTCTAGGGGCACCACCACACCCCTCTGCAAATCCCAGCATTGCCTTTCTCAGGCAATTTAAACAATGAAATGCTGAGGTTTAGCCCAAGCTCCATCTCTCCAGTGTCCCCAGGACTCTCTCTGAGCACTGGGGACATGGCCTTTACAGAGCCTGTGAGAGGTGACAGAGCTGCAGAGGGACACGTGGAGCAGGCTCGTGGCTGCTGTAAATCCAGAGCCTGTAATTCCTGCACTGCTGCACTGGAGCACTGGAAGATCCCAGCCTGCAGCCTGATATTCCACACCTCTGAGATTAAATGTAAATCTAATTTTTATTTCTATTTCATATTCCAAAGTAGTTTTAAAATCAGTGGACTTTTCCAAAACACTCAGATAGTCCAGTGACTTGTGAAATTCTCCAGACCTTGTTCTTTACTCTGTTTCTTTGCCATGTGTGTGATGTTGAAAGCTGGGAGGTGAGCAGATATTGTGGTTATAAACTGTTTCTTGCTAATTTTCTAAATTTTAGAAACACTGAAAATAGTGTTAATATCCAATATGCTTAATGGAATCAGCAGTAAAAGTACAACACAGGGGTTATTTTAGAGAATTTTTCATGGTCATAGAGACTTACTGGGTCTGGCTGAGCTGGAGTTCATTTCCCCCAGCAGCCCTCCCAGTGCTGTACTCTGCACTGGCAGCCAGAAGGGTGTTGATAACACTCCGGTGTTTTGGCTCCCACTGAGCATCAGCACTGCAACGTTCCTTCCTCCTTCAAAGGAAGGTGCTGGGAGGGGACACAGCCAGGCCAACTGCCCCAAACTGGCCAAAGGGATGTTCCAGACCCTGTGATGTCAGCTCAGATATAAAAGCTGAGGCAGGAGCAGGAAGGGGGGCATTCATTGTCTCTCAGGTCCCGTGAGCTGCAGCCCTGCTGATGGGGAGCGCCCATCGCTGCTCGTGGGGAGCAGGGAACAAACCCTGTCATCTTCTGCTTTGCTTTTGTGCACACAGACCTCTGCTCTGCTGTTTGCTTTAAATAAACTGCCTTGTCCCAACCCACCAGGTGTTTTCCCACCTTACTCTCTGCCCTGTCCTGCTGGGAATGGGGGTGATGGAGCGGCTGGGTGAGCACCCGGTGTCCAGCCAAGGAAACCACCACAGCCCAGCGTGGGGTGAGATAAAGGCAGTTGTGTATTTTTTTTTTTTTTTTTTTTTCATGCTATAGTAATAGTAGCTATTGAATAGCAAGCTCCTGTGCAGGACACGGAGTTTGCTGGCTGCACTGCTTATCACTTTATTTTGCTAAGTTTTGGGAACATACTGATCTAACAATGCTTTGCATTTACACTAATGGCCTTGCTGTGCTTGGGGAGGTGTCTTCTGGGGAGCTATCTGGGAACAATGGAGAAATACACCCTTCCCCCCCTGCCTGGCATTGGTATAAATGGCTTTAGAATGAAGTCTGCTGCACCCCTGGCTAATCCTTATGGGAGCTGTTTGGAAATGTTACTGTCACTAACTAATACTGTCAGCACATTACAGAGTTCTTGGAATCTGGTGTTATCCTGGTGTAGGAGAAAACATACTTTAGGTGATGATACATTGGGGTGTGCCCTGAGGTGCCCAGTTGCTGGGTGGCAGGGTGTGTGGAAGGACCTGGGCAGATTCCCAGGGCATTTGACACCTCCCATTCCCTGGGACTTCACACCTGAACAGGTATTTGACCCCAGCAAACTGGCACATCACCTGATGGAAGGGTGCCTTGCCTACCCCAATCACAACCAGCAGCTTCTTGCTCTGTACTGGGGCCTGGCCTGTGCTTGTCCAGCCACAGTTCAATGTTCTCAGAAGACTGTGGTGGAGGCAGGGACCCAAACTGCAATAGAGGACACTGTGGGTGAGGTGGGGACTGAAACCACCACAACAACAGTCATTGTGAAAAAGAAGAAATGGATGAGGCAAGCAACAGGTCCATAGCAGTGATTAGTAAGGGAGGAACAGGAGGAAGAGGAAGAAGAAGAAGGAGTAGAAGGAGGGGAGGGGGCAGATAAAAAAGCTGGTCCTTCAACAGAGGTCCTTCATCAGACAAATCAAAGAGGGATCTGAGGTTACCCAGTCCCTGACTCCTCAGAACTCCTGGACTTGCAGAAGGATCACAGCCACCATCGATGCTGGGACAACAGGGCTGACAGTCAACAACTGCAAGGTCATGAAGCCCAACAGCTGGGATCCCTTGCCAGAGATGGCAACACTGAAAGAGGAGTAGGAAAGGAGAGAACAATTTGCAGTCTTTGGAGATGGCTGCTCTCAGGCAGGGAAAGGTATCCATTCAAGGAAGATCTAATGAGCTCCCCAAGGAAGTGGGCCACTGCAGATGAAGGTGTCCAGTACCTGAGAGAATTAGCAGTGCTGGAAATCATCTGTAGTACCCTAAAAAGGGATGACACCCCAAAATACCCAGAGGATGTTTCTTGCACGCTGGCCATGTGGAGGAAGGTGGTTGAAAGCGCCCCTGTATCATATTCCGACAGTCTGGTGACATTGTACTACCCAAAGATGGATCCACCAACTGTAGAGGATGCTCGTGGGAAGTGGAGAATAAACTGTGTTCTCTTTGCCTGGCTTCTGCTTTAATAAACTGCCTTGTCCCAACCCACCAGGTGTTTTCCCACCTTTCTCTCTGCCCTGTCTGGCTGGGAAGGGGAGTGAGAGAGTGGCTGGGTGGGCACCTGGCATCCAGCCAAGGAAACCACCACACTAATAAAAGTCATTGTTCCTGGACTAGTCTCCAGAAGTTGCCTGTAGGCCTGTGCCATGTGTTTAATCACGGCACAGAGAGCAAACAGGGGGTCAGGTGGGAGGAACAAACCTGCCTGGGAATTTAACATTTATAATCCTGACCTGGGTGGCTGAGAACTGATGTGTTCCCAGAGCAGAGCTGGGTGTGAGGATCTTAGTGAGCCAGAGACACACAGAGCATCGCTCTGGGCTGCAGGGGCTGAGCCCTGGGAGTTGGGATCACAGAATCCCAGAATATGCTGAGCTGGAAGGGACCCCCAAGGATCATCCAGTCCAACTCCTGGCCCTGCACAGGCCCATCCCCAAGGGTCTCATCCTGTGCCCCAGAGGATCATCCAAACCCTCCTGCAGCTCTGGCAGCCTTGGGGCTGTGCCCACTGCCCTGGGGAGCCTGTTCAGTGCCCAACCAGCCTGTGGGGGAAGAACCTTTTGCTGAGATCCACCCTGAGCCTGCCCTGACACAGCTCCAGCCATTCCCTGGGGGCTGTCCCTGGTCCCCCCAGAGCAGAGCTCAGTCTTGCCCCTCCTCTGCCCCTCCTTTGGAAGTTGTCCCCTCTGACCTCTGCTCTGCTCCCTATCTTCCAGCACCTGGAAGCTCCATGAGTTTACTTATGAGTTAACCTATTAAACTGCCTTTACCTCAACCCATGAGTTTATTTATCTCAACCCATCAGTTTTCATACTTCTGCCCTTTCATCTCACTCCATCCCTGCGGGAGGGAGGGAGCCAGGGAGCGTGTGGGGCTTGGCTGCTCCTGGGGTTAAACCAGGACAGTGGAACTGTGGGCAGTGTTTGGTTTCCCAGGGCTTCCTATCAAACTGAGCAGCTTTAACTGGAGAAGACGTGGTCAGCTCTCTGCCAGTTCAGGGTATCAAATTCCCTCCCATTGAGAGTCCTGCAGGAGGGTAAAGTCCTCGGGCTTTGCAGGAGATCCACAGGAACTCTCTTGCTCTGAGCAGCGCACCAGCTCTTCCTGCAGGAATGGAGAAGATACAAAATCCTTTATTTTGCAGTCCTGGAGAATGGCAAACTTCTGGATGAAGGTGGGAAAACTCTCTGGTAAGAACTTTGTTTAATTGCCAGGCAGTGTCTCCAAGGTACAGCCCCAAATATTAATGATGAAGAAGTTAGTTATGGCTTAGCAAAAGACATCTGCAAATATCTAAAGCAACGGAGAGAGCTGGTTTAAGCTGCCTATTTTAAAATGCTTCTAACCCATAAATGAGAGTCTGTGGACTATCCCACATAATGAGTACCTGGCTAGAAGAGGTCTGTTAGCTGGGGAAAGCTATGCTATTAAATTAAATCCCTCCCAGTTTAAATTGAAACCTGCCAATTAGATGTGTAATGTACACTGGTCACTTCCCACGGCTTTGCAAAGCTGGGCACATCAAATACTCCGTGGATTTTACCATTCAGGAGGTTCTGTTGCATAAACAGAGCACTGTCAAATTAAACACAGAAAAGCAGGACCAGAATGTAGAGTAAGTGCATCGTGCTCCAGATAATCCATCGTGCTGGATTAGTCCTTCTTAGGTGTTTCTTCAATGTTTCTTTACCATGGGGGATTTCTTACTCTTTACAACTCTCTGACAGGAGGGGGGACTGGGGGGGGTCGGGCTCTGCTCCCAGGGAACAGGGACAGGAGGAGAGGGAACGGCCTCAGCTGTGCCAGGGGAGGGGCAGGTTGGACACCAGGAGGAATTTCCTCATGGAAAGGGTGGTCAGGCCTTGGCAGGGGCTGCCCAGGGAGGTTTGGAGTCCCCAGTCCTGGAGGTGTCCAAGGCAGGCCTGGCCGTGGCACTCAGTGCTCTGGGCTGGGGGACAGGGTGGGGATGGGCACAGGGGGATCCATGGGCTGGGAGGGCTTTTCCAATCTCAGGGACTCTCTGTGTGATTCCATGATCTCAGTGCTCTGTTTGTGGGATTTGCTGCCGTTCTGTAGACTGTTACTGTCACAAATTTCAGGCTGCTTCTCTTTCAAAACCTTTCCTCCTTTTTCCAGCACACAGGGGCCTCTCTCTGCTCAGTGTTGCCCCTCAAACCTCCAGCAAAGGAGAAGCTCAGTAACTCCCCAGGCACTGCCTGCTCTTTCCAGAGCCACAGCCTGGGCTGTTCTCTTGCCAGCAGAAGAAGAATGGGCTGTTGACAACAAAATTAATCCGATTGTTTTATTATATATATATCTCCCTGCATAATTCACCAGTTGGGCAGGCAGGGGAGTGGGGAGATATTTATAGATACTAGAAATGTCACCAGGGTGCTCATTCCTCATCCTCTGAAAATCGTCACAGGAGAGTTGGCCGCAAAATGCTACAAGAGGATGGTGAATAATTTGGTGCTTTAGGGGGTGAAAAAAAAATCTGACAGGTGTGAGATATTCCAGCCATATCTGCCCAAACCAGGCCATTAAATCCAGCTGCCCAGGCTGGTCCCTGGGAGCAGTGCATTGGCAGAGATCTACATTGTCTGTCCCTGAGCTCTCAGAAGAGCTGCCCGCTTGGCATTGCCAATGTGCCCCTTCCTGGCCCTGCCCTGCCTGCAGTGGAGAGACTGCCCAGAGCCCCATCCCCAGAGCAGGCACAGCCAGTGCTGAGGGCTGAGCACTTTGGGTGACCTTGGGGCACACCTGAGGTTGGGCTGGAACAGGGCAGGGGTTTGGGCAGTGCTGGCAGGGTGGGCAATAGGGCAGGGCTCAGGTGGGACCCCACCTGTGGTGCCTCCAGCTCTGGGGTCCCCAGCACAGGAAACACAGATCTCTTGAGGCGAGGCCAGGAGAGGCACTAAAATGATCAGAGGGCTGGAGAGCAGCTCTGCTGGGAGGAAAAGCTGGGAGTGTTGGGATTGTTCAGCCTGGAGGAGAAAAGCTTTGGGGTGACCTAATTAAGGCCAGTACAAACCCACCCTCTAGGGGAAGAACCTTTTCCTAGAAAAATCCAGCCTAGCCTTCCCCTGTTGGAGAGCAGAGACTGGAGCTGCCCCTCCACTGCCCCTCCCTGCCAGGGGGATCCCAGACTGGCTCAGCCTTTCTGTGTCTCCACGGGGTTGCTTTGGGCCTGAGTCCTCCAAAGGTCTGTGGTCAATTAGTTAACTCCAGGCTGGTGACATTTTCCAAAGAGATGAAAGTGAAAGGAGGAAAACTGTGCTCTTGGACACTTAATGTCAGGAAAAATTGACTGAACTCCCCCGGGACAGAGAAGTGTCTTTCCCACAGCCTGGGAGTGTTTTACCTGCCGCAAACTATAACTGGCAGAAGAGCACAGTTCAAAGTAGAGCCTTCTCCTTTGGAATCGTGTCCCATATTTGGGGGTTAACCAGCTCCATTCTGCTGCAGCTGTTGCTCACAGAGCAAAGGAAAATGAGGACTAGACATATAAAAGCAGAGCGTGGTCCATGGGCAGTAGATTGGGCCCACTGGAGCAAAGTAATTGCAGCTGTAATTGGGCACTGGTGATGCCCAGGGATGCAAATTCTGCCCGTGTCCCTGCTCAAGTATTTACAGCACAAAACTTGCTGCAATGTATCAGCTGGATGCATTCACTTTAATGCAGCATTAATACATTTAATTAGCAATGGCTTATTAGATTCATGTCTGTTATTATGCATTGTTTTTTGAATTATTGTAATTGCCCAAACAGACCTACAAATGTATTTACCTTGTTAATGGCTGTGAACCTCACTTTAAAAGCTTTTAGACTGTAGGAGATGTTCACAGAGTCATAAGCAGCCCTTGTAATTGGAGTGCTGAGGTGGCTGTTCGAGCAGAAAGGTGGTTTGGGGCTGTAAACACATGTTCTGAAGCACTTGAAAGCCACTTACCTGTGTGCAAACTTTAGGATTCACTTTAAGGACACTTTTACAACATTCATTTTGATTAAATGCCGTGAGGCCTCAATTCAGTGTCTTGATTTAATGTTTCCAAGGGTCTGTTGGGAGCTGGGATGGGGGGAGCTGTCAGCTGGGAAAGTCCAGGACCTGTAGCCCTTCCAGGTCCTGGGAAGGGCTCGTTCAGGTGCTCCAGGCTCACTGCTGAAAATGTTGCCTTGGAAAAATCAGAATATTTGTGGGACTGAGCTTTGATGGAAGCTACACAGGAAAAGCTGCTCATGTCCATGATGGGAGTTTTGTCCAGGTCAGCAACCCTGGAGACCTTGAAATTTAGTGCATTTGCATGATAATCACAGGATCACAGGATCATTGAGGTTGGAAAAGCCCTCCCAGCCCATGGATCCCCCCTGTGCCCCATCCCCACCCTGTCCCCCAGCCCAGAGCACTGAGTGCCACGGCCCGGCCTGCCTTGGACACCTCCAGGGTTGGGGACTCCAAACCTCCCTGGGCAGCCCCTGCCAGTGTTTAAACAACCCTTTCAGCAAAGAAATGGTATCACATTCCCCTCTTAGGTGCAACAGGACACTGGGGAAACAGGCCCATGGGGTGACAGCAGTGGGTCATCCGAGGGCAGGTGAGGCACAGAGGGGGTGATTTGCTGTGGGGGAGGAGCTGAGTGTCTCTGGTTACTTGTTCACTGTCACTCTGGCTGTGGGGCTCAAAGGCAGAGGTGTGAGCTGCCAAAATATCAGTGGGGACTCAGACCCAGCGACTCAGGGCTGCCTGGACGTGTCCCCACCGGGGACAGGGCCTGACAGGTGTCGTGGTTTTGTCCACCAGCCCATCCCTGGGGCTGAGGATGGTTTTGTCCAGGTGATTTCCGGACAAAAAACCAATCAAAAAGTTCAGTGACGCCTTTGCTAATTACATCTTTAAGAAAACGGAAGAGAAGGTTGTGGCGCAGTTGAAATTAGGAACAGCAGCCATGTA